TTTCAGAACAGAGGAAAACCCTCAGAAAAATGCAATGGGGGCAGCAGGAAGGGAGGGAAGCACATGTTGGCCAAAAACCAGCTAATTCAGGATGATCAGATGCACCGGAGATCATCTGGACCCTACAGCTTTGCTGCAGCAAGTGCCACAGTCAGCAAAGTAGATGGCCTCTCAGAGATTTGGGACAGCAAATGCAAGATTTGGGGGCCCAGCCTCAGGGCCGTCTTAACACATGGGCCTGATAGGCACTTGCCCTTGGGCCCCATACTAATCTGTGCATGTTAACCCTTGGAAAACTGGAACACTTCCAAAATTAACAGGAGTTGTCGTTGTCGTAGGGGCCCCAGTACACTGCTTTGCCCGGGGCCCATAATGCTGTCAAGACGGCCCTGCCCAGCCTCCTGGCCCATCTTCTGACAATGCTCTCGAGGATAATCAAGTCACTTGGTGGAAGCCAATTATGCCCTCCCAGCAGAGTGGTGATCTTTCTCCTCCTGTATTTGTGTGCCTTTAAAAATGAGTGGCAGGCAGAAATTCCTCATTGGGACTTTGCAGGATCGGGAAAACTGCACTGGGTGAATGCTTGCCATGCAGCTCTTGAGTCAACAAAGCTCCCTTCCTCCACCCACCCGCATCCGCCTGCAAAGGTAGCAACTCTGCTAGGCTCTAGCCGAGTACTAAATGTTCTCCCTTCTCAGGACAAAGGCAAAGGTTGTGTTGCACAACTGCACATTTTTGCCGATAACCGTAATAAATATATGCTACTTGTGCAGCTCGCTGCCAAATCTGCACATGCCCAATGGGGCAATCTCCTCACCTTAGTCACCGCTTCCTCCAGCAGAGCTAACGAACAGCAAAACTGTGTGTGTGGTCTTGCCAGGGAACATCACACAATGCTCAGTGTGCACCTAGATTCAGCAGCAAGGAGAGACGGAAATGGGAACTGAAGGCCCAACGTTAGCCTGGCCTCACCTTCAGAACTGACTGGCAAAACCCTCAGAGATCTTTATTCTTTTATATTTGGAGTCCCACTATATTTTGAATATATCAGAATCTTTATCTGTCTCCACGATGCAGGAAGGGAACTATTACTGGACTCAAGAAATTAGGACACAGTATCAGATGAGCCTTTATTTTCCTCACCTATCAAAAGCTATTGAGCAATTTTCTCCATGTGACAGCAGGACAAGGTCTTCACCAGCCTGGTGCCATCCAGATGTTCGCTCCAGCAGGTTCGGTCCAGCTGGCCATGGTCAGGAAAGGTCGGAGCTACAGCCCAAAGGCACCAGGATCTGAAAGGCAGCAGGTTGGGGAAGGCTGGTCCAGGCATTGCACTTAGCACTGGTTCTAGCAATATGTACAATGCCCACCACATGGGATAGAAATGAGGAGAAAGTTCCTGCTTGTGTTACTTGCTCCTTACAGCAGCCCTTGTCTCTAAGATGTATCTCTGCATACACAGAATTGCATTGGCAAGAACAGCTTCCTTCTCTTTGTCATACCAAGGGACTTGTCTCATAGAAAGATACAAGGGTGATGTGACCTAGTGGTTGGAGTGCTGGACTGGGACTCAGGAGAACCAGGCCTTGGCCCCACTTAGCCATGAAGCTTACTGAATAACTTCAAGCCAGTCACTACTTTTTGCCTAACAAACTTCACAGAGTTTTTGTGAGGATAAAATAGAGAAAAGAAGGATTATGTGAACTGGCTGCATACCTTGCAGGGGGGATAAAAAGGCAGAGTATAAATAAAATTAATAATGTTTTTCTTCATTTGCAACAGATGTGCATTTCAACCAGTTTTTCTCCCAATAAATCATAATGGAATGTGGCTGAGTGTCAGGCACTGGATAACTCTGCTTTTACACATAATGGCACAGGTACTTTTGAAAATTGAATAAAAGTCTTCTCACCCCTGGTATATATGTATTTAGGATCATGATTGCCATATCCACCATGGAATGCCTACTTTCTGTCCTGGACTGCTAAGACTTGGCTAGCTCAAAATCCAGGTCAGTCAGAGTTTGCTGATGTCAGTTTTAACGGGTTTTTTGAAAAGTTAACCAGCATTGCTTGGCTTTCCCTGTTACATGTCTTATACTGTCCCCTGGTGTACAAAAAGGTAAATTACAGAATCCCTCAGTTTTTAAAAATTCAAGGTGCCAAAAGATGATGTTGTTGTTGGTCGCAAAGTCATGTCCGACCCATCGCGACCCCATGGATAACATTCCTCCAGGACTTCCTGTCCTCCATCATCCCCTGGAATCCACTTAAGCTCGCACCAACTGCTTCAGTGACTCCATCTAGCCACCTCATCCTCTGCCGTCCCCATTTTCTTTTGCCATCTATTGTTCCCAACATTAGGCTCTTCTCCAGGGAGTCCTTCCTTCTCATCACGTGGCCAAAGTATTTGAGTTTCATCTTCAGGATCTGGCCTTCTAAAGAGCAGTCTGGGCTGATCTCCTCTAGCACTGACCAGTTTGATCGCCTTGCGGTCCAAGGGACTCGCAGGAGTCTCCTCCAGCACCATAATTCAAAGGCCTCAATCCTTTGGCGCTCAGCCTTCCTTATGGCCCAGCTTTCACAGCCATACATTGCAACTGGGAAAACCATAGCCTTGACTATACGCACTTTTGTTGGCAGGGTGACGTCTCTGCTTTTTAGTATGCTGTCTAGATTTGCCATAGCTTTCCTCCCCAGGAGCAAGCGTCTTTTAATTTCTTGCTGCAGTTCCCGTCTGTGGTGATCTTGGAGCCCAGGAAAATAAAATGTGCCACTACCTCCATTTCTTCCCCATCTATTTGCCAGGAAGTGAGAGGACCGGATGCCATGATCTTAGTTTTCTTAATGTTGAGTTTCAAGCCAACTTTTGCGCTCTCCTCCTTCACCCGCATCTTTAGTTCCTCCTCACTTTCTGTCATTAGAGTGGTATCATCTGCATATCTGAGGTTGTTGATATTTCTCCCAGCAATCTTAACTCCAACTGGTGATTCATCTAGCCCCGCCTTTCTCATGATGTGCTCTGCATGTAAGTTAAATAGGCAGGGAGACAGTATACAACCTTACCGAACTCCTTTCTCAATTTTGAACCAATCAGTGGTTGCATGTCCAGTTCTCACTGTTGCTTCTTGACCCTCATATAGGTTTCTCAAGAGACAAATGGTCTGGGACTCCCATTTCTTTAAGAACTTGCCACAATTTGTTGTGATCCACACAATCAAAGACTTTAGCATAGTCAATGAAGCAG